TCTCTCTCTCGCTGGCGTCTCTGGAGCCGCTCCTCTTCCTCCAGGAACCGCTGCTCCTGTTCTCTCTCTCGCTGGCGTCTCTGGAGCCGCTCCTCCTCCTCCAGGAACCTCTGCTCCTGTTCTCTCTCTCGCTGGCGTCTCTGAAGCCGCTTCTCCTCCTCCAGGAACCTCTGCTCCTGTTCTCTCTCTCGCTGGCGTCTCTGGAGCCGCTCCTCCTCCTCCAGGAACCTCCGCTCCTGCTCTCTCTCGCGTCGCTGGCGGCGCTGCTGCTCCTCCTCTTCAAGGAACTGCTGTTCCTGGCGTTCCCTCTGCTGCTCCCTCAGCGAGGGCCTGGTGGACAGCCTCTGGCGGCGCCTCTCCCTTTCATCCTCCAGCTCCCATTGCCATTTGAGGTCACGGCGCTTCTCCGCTTCTTCCTCTTGCTGCTGCCGCCAGAGATTATGTTCCTCTCTCCGCCACTGCTGCTCACGCTCCTCCTGGAGCTGCCTGGGCCTGGCACCACGCAGGCTGTCCTCCTCGTGCTCATCTCTTAGTTGCCATTCACGCTCCTGTTGCAGCCTCCTCACCTCCTCCTGCTCCAAGTGGCGCCTCTGCTCCTCTTGCCGGCTGGGCCTCGAGTAGACTTTGCTTTGACGTGCGTCAGCCTCGCTCTCCAGCTGCCACTGCCACCTTGGGGCACGGCTCTTGCCCTGCTCTCGGGCCTGCTCCCGCCTTTCCTCTGCCAGCTCTTGCTCATGGCGCTCTTGTTCGCGCCTCTGCTGCTGCTCCCGGGACTCCTCAAGCTCGCGCCTCTGCCTTTGCAGCTGCTGCTCCTCTTTCCTCAGCTTTTGTCGTTCCCGCCTCTGCTGTTGCTCTTCTTCCTCCCAGCGCGCTCTCTGGGTCAGGGACTCTTCTTCACGGCGTTCCCTGCGCTCCTCTTCAAAGCGCTCCCTCTTCAGTTCCTGACGTTCCTGCCTTGGAAGCGGCTCTTCTTCCCGGCGCACTAGCTGCTGGCGCCGTTGCCGTTGTTCTTCTTCCTCCTGAAGCTGACTTTTGCGCCTCTCCTGTCTCTCTCGCCTTTGCAGTTGCTCTTCTTCCTCCTGAAACTCCCTTTGACGCTGCTGCTGTCGCTCTCGCCTTTTCTCTTCCTCGAGCCTTTGCTCTTCTTCACAGCGTTCCCTCTTCAGTTCCTGTCTATCCCGCCTTTGCTGCTGCTCTTCTTCCCGGCGCCCCACCTGCTCCAGTCTTTGTTGTTGTCTTTCCTCTTCACGGCGGTGCAGTTGCTCCTGCCTCTCTCGCCTTTGCTGTTGTCCTTCCTCGGGAAACTCCTCCGGCTCCTGATCCTTACGCCACTGCTCTTTCTGCTCCTGGCGGCGGCGTTCTTCCTGCTCTTGGAGTCCTCGTCTTTGTCGCCTCTGCTCCTCTTCACAGCGAAGCCTGTCTTGCAACTCACGCCTTTCTTGCCTTTCCTTCTTTAACTCTTCCTCAGCGAGTTCCCTCTCTTGCTCTTGGCGCCGCTTCTGCTGACGTTCTTCTTCAAAAGGCCTGTCCCTGTGCTCCAATCTCCTTTGGTCTTCTTCTTGCCTGTTCCCCTTCTCTTCACATTTTGCACCCTTCTCCTCAAACCCCGTAGCCTGTTGGAGAGCATAGTAACAGGCATGGGCGATTCTGAAAGTTAACAGGAGGAACTCGTTGAAGTTGATAAGCCCATCACGGTCACGATCTAGAATTTGCAGGACAGTGTCCACCGTCTCAGGGTCATGTGGTCTCTATGAAAAAGATAGGAGAAAATGACAATGTACTATTTGAAGATAAACCACAAGACTTGAACCATTCAAAAATTAGATCCTATAATTAGATAAGTAATTCTTTAATTAGGTAGATGCCCAGTCTAGTTTTTCCTCGTATAAAATGTATGCACTCTATTTTAAAGCTTGCATTTGTTAGTAATTCCTGTATCTTATAATTTTAAGGTGACCAAAAGAACACAGGTTTTCGTCACTTGAGTGAATAAGAACTTATCCTCAAGAGAGAAATACAGTGGACATTTATGAAGATTTACAACAGTCATTTCTATCTGAAATAGCCAGTACCCTGATTTTATTTCTATTATAAGGAAGAAGACATTTTGGTAACACCATTTTGCTACAACATTCTTAAAACAGATTGATTTCAGTTCTTGTCATTTAGAATTTAAATTCGAGGTCTGATTTGATTTGGAATATTTGATGAGTAGTTTGATGGTAACTATAATTCACATCACATTGTCATTAAATACATCAACTATTTGCTATCAATTTCTATTATACTCAGACTATAATGTCAATAAAACTGATAGTTCTTACCTGGAGAACATCTCCAAATTCCCTTTCAAGGAGTTCCTTTAGGTCTTTCTTGCTTAGTGCTGCCCCATCACACTTATTTGAGGCATATTGGTTGAAAGTTTCAGTGATGTCACAGATGTTTTTCAGAAGTGGAGACATTTTTCTTCAAGTTCAGGTAAACCTAGAACAATAAATGAAGATCTAGAATAAAAATCCAGTGTTTTCTCTTAAGAATGCTTCTTCATCCATATTGTTTTAGGCAAGTTCCAGAATACTTTGATAATAGCACTTTTTAACCTACATTTTCAAAGTCTGTGTCTATAACTGTTACACTCTGGAAACAGAAGAGGGATGGAAACATTTTTAACCCAGGAAATAAGTTTTAAACTTCTAGAGACCATCATATCTAACTATTAAGACAACTTTTGATTGTTTACTCAATCCAGATTATGCGTATATTATTTTTTCTTTTCTATTTTTCAGCTAAGGAACACAATAGTTAAATGAGTGGCTGCTAACTGAAAGGTCAATGGTTCAAATCTACCAGTTGCTTCCTGAAAGAAAGATGTGGCAATTGCCTCTGTACAGATTTATAGAATTGGAAACCCTAGCAAACAGTTCTACTTTGTCCTTTCGTGATGCTATGAGCCAAGATTGACTTAATGGTAATAGATTTGATTTTTTATTTTGTTTCTATCTTTCTGCTTCCAGCAATTTTTAGGGCAGATAATGAAGACAGTAGTAAGGAAACTTACATTTTATATATTCACAATTTTAGAATCCTCTAAAATTGAGTAAAGAGGGTTGGTAAAGCTAAAATCTTACAGAAGGTTTGAAAGTATCTTAAGATTGCAGGTGTATCTTAATGTAGATAGAAGTGCATAGCTTAATGTGGAACAAAACATAGGAGCAACTAGAACAAAAAGAAAGGAATGTGAATTACTCCTCAATATTATAGTCTATAAGAGATCTAGAAATACAACTCACAAGTCACTAGTCCTATGATTAAACACTACTTCTTCCTAGTTGAAACAGAAAATTGTAAAAAAAAAAGTGTATCTTATATCCCTTAACCTAAACATATTATATTCAGTTGTCAAAGCCATCTAAGAGGTCTTCCTGAGTGGCTACCAACATCAGTAAGTCAAAGTGAACCAGGAAAGCTTTAGATACTACTGGCATTGTGGTTGGCTTTTGCCAAGCTCAAAGAAACCATCTGAATCTAGACATGAAAAACAAAATTTAGTAGTCCACAAATTAGTGTTCAAAGCATGCATGGATGGCTTTCAAAGACTGAGTTAGTGGTTCACTTACTGGCTTCATTTACCTCTCAACTGTGAAACCTCAGCTGGCATAACTATGTGAAGATGGCCCATTTGGGGTAGAATCAATATATAAAAAGGAGAAGATTAAAAAACTCTTGAGATAGTAAGTTTTTGGAAGATGAATCTCAGGTTACACAGGATTGTTTCCCTGTCCCTGACAAGCAAATGACAGAACCTTGGAAGAAGGGACATTTCCATGCATTTAAGTGGCTTCAGCCATGAGAAAATGGCATGGAGTGAGTGGGAGCAGGCCATCTCTCTAAGACACTGATTATTTCTGGCACATAGAAACCATCCCTCAACATTTCCAATAGCTAGAAGATGAAGAATTGTTCAGCTTGAGACTTACCCACTTCACCAGAGGAGGAAGTCGAGTGCTCGCTGACACCGCTGGTAAGTGTGCTGGGTAACCGAGAGCAGGGCCTTTTATAGTGGTTTTAATTGTGCCCTGGAGAGCAACTTGGGAAGGAGACACCCACTTTGTGCGTTCGCCTGATTCATTACTAACCAAGCCCAGCTCCACCTCTGTCTCCACAAATGGCTTGTTTATCTCACTATTTGCTCACGTAGCTGTTTGGCACGAGGTTCACAGACCTTGCTTCCTTACAGTTAGGGTATGTGCCCCACCTAACATGAAAGAGGAGAATACTTGGAAGAATCTATAATATTCTTCAGTTCAAAATTAGAAAAATAGTACAAGGAACTATCAGGTTTGGAACCTTCATCAGTTATAATTTCATTAAAAAGTCATAACCTCTATGCCATTTATTTTATGAAAGATTTACGTTCATGATTGGGTTAAACAGAAACTTTGACATAAACTGATCAGAACTAGTTAATTTCTCAGTTTGTGGGGAACTGCTCATGATCTCTGCTTGAAGCAATTCTATGACAAGGACAAAGAAATTAGCTTCCTTGCTTTTCCAAAAAATGTAGATGCAAAAAACTTACATTTGTGTTCCTGTGTCTTAGGATGGTTTTCTTACAAATTTCAGGACTGTCTCCTTGATAAACACTTTTGGGGGGTACTTGAAATATGCTTCATCAAACTACTCATAAAGAAACTTGAAATCTGTGAAATTTTATTCTTAGTAATATCACATTTAAATGAAGTTTGAATTGTCACCATTCCCCATTAGCATATTGAAGCCCCTGGGGGGGGGAAGAGCTGGGGTAATGCATTATTGTAGATATAATCATCCTACGTTGCTAATGATTATGACACCAAAAGTACTTGAGTCTGCTTCTCCTCCTGGAAGCGCATTAAGGTAATCTGTCATTCTAGGCCATTATGTCTGTCAGGGCTTTCTCAACCCTGGTCATCATTTGCAAATCTCAGTGCTGTTTTATTGTAAGGAACTAAATTTTATTCCTGGTTGTCAGTGACTCCCACCTTTACGTTTCAGACTATATGAAACTTTGGTTCACAATAGGTTTATGAAGGCTATTAAATGATTCAGTGGCTTCTTGACATTTATTTCTGCATCTGTGTCTCCTTTTTCTGTACAAACCTAGGCAATACTGGCTATTCTGCATTTTGAGGAGACACTGGTAGGTCCTTTATTGAGATGTGAAGACTTGAGACTTAGAACTTGATGACTGTTTCTTTGCCCATTTATGCAGACAAAGAGTGATAATTTGTCTGTGATAATGAAGTGAATAAAGGGTGAATTTAATTCACCCACTTACTTGCTGCCATCCTAGATGTAGCATAAAGAGGAAGATGAAGTGTTAGGATACAGGATGACAATCTTAAGTCTGGCTCTTGCCTCCTCAAAGATTACAGTACTAAAGTCTACTTTCTAGAGATTGTCCTTAAACTGTCAATATTTCTTAAGATTAGTTAGTAAATTTGATGTGGTTGCTTTTTAGCATTCAGAGGGAAGATCTCCCCTTCTCCGTTTTTCTTACTTGTACAAATCTCATAATCTTTGAACTCTAAAGGGTATCATGTGCACTGTATACACTGAAACCACAAAGCATCACAGAATCCCCATCTCTCACGGAAGGCCCTAGTTTTTTCTCTGGGAATCCTGTAAGGAATTTTCCAAAATCTGATGGGAATCTCAGGCCAGATGATGGAATGCAATAGCATGGCTCTATTCCCTTTCTATAGTCAATACATCTAAAAGGAGACTAACCAGTTATTCAGTTCTATGAAAATAAAGGGCAAATGCTAGGAATAATTCTAAAGTCATAGTTGAGCAAGCAAAACAAATACAGAAGTGAATGCAAAAGAGAGATGCTTCTGAACAAGCTTGGTGGTGGTGGAGCGCCTGAAATTGTCTCCTTGGTAACTGAAAAACTTGTTTTTTTTTTCCAGAATGAAGCTAGATCTTAAAAACATTAATTAAACTCTATTACACACTCTTGTTTCAAATCAATATAGAAGAAATACAAAATTTCATCTTTCACTTGCTTGCTGCTTTTGATTATTCTGCTGAAAGATTAGTCATAGCTTCAAATGCTACTGATTTTTCCTTTTTAAAAGTTTTGAGACTCTACTTGACAAAATTATACAAAATGTTATTTAGATATATGACATATTTTTAAAAAAGTTTTCAATTACTTTTTTAATTGATTTGCTTACAAAGATCATTTACATTGTGTTTCACACTTTTCTTCATTCACATTGTATTTAATACAATCCTTCTCGTACATTATGCATGACATATTTTAAGAAAGGTGAATAGAATTTTAAAAGAACCCACTGTGATATGATTTTGGACATAAAAGTTATTGTTTTCTGTTCCTTAAATGGTTGATAAATACAAGGGAGTACAGAAAAGAATCAAGTTCTAACAATTTGGTTCAGTCAATTTTTATTTATGACTAATTGGGAATTTTTAAAATCTGGAGGTTTCCATTCACTGTAGTTCTTCAAGAAAGGATGGCGCTTTTATTGTTTATGAATCTCATATTCTTTACAGACAAAAGACATTATTTTTCTTTTATAATCTTACTTCAGACAGGGTCTTTGAGGTATAGAGAACACTCCTGACAGGTCTAGGAATAAGTACTTCTGTTTCATATGTAAGAATGCCCTTTTTAAATTGAGGGTTTAAACCAATTAATCCAGAACATAGCTACACAATTATACTGTGACTTGACTTTGATATGGGATCTATTATAGAGAAAAATGACATATTACTTAGATACTTTAATATCACACCAACTATGAAGCCTGTCTCCATGTGGAAATCTTTAGTGGGGGAACTCTACTGCTGGATTAACAAACAAATACAGGACTAAAATAGATACGATTTTTTTTGGTCTTCATTTTACTTAAGACTTCATTTCCCATTTTTCATTTCTCAGAATCTAAAAGACAAAGACAACAGTTTTGACATTCTGTGGCATTCTGTTAGCATCGTAACCTGACCCAAGCGGGAATTCAAATAAAGTAGAAAATTTTCTAGTGATCTTCATTCTAATGAGTTTCTCTAAAACCCAGTATGCCATGATGTTGACATTCTGGGAGAAAGGTCCAAAATAGGATACTTTCAGATGGCTTTATGAACAGTAGATTTCTTTGATAAATTCTGTTAATGCTCTCCAATTAAGACTTTTTCTTGAAAATTATATGTTCAACTTTTCAAGTTTTCCTGTTGTTTTCTCTTATTCACTGCCTCATCCCCTGAGACTCCACCTCTGCCAGACCTTGAGACCCTACACAAGTTCTATCTCCTCCTCAAAATGTTGTTACTCTTACATGAAAGTCTTCCAATTGAAAACATCCCCCCCCCATGGCATACAGAGTCAGTACCACACAAACTAGAACAAGTTAATGTATTCTTTTCATATTCTTCTCTAATTGAATAGGTGCTTGTTTTG